GATTTACCAACCTAGGTGCAGAATAATCGGTATCAAATATACAGTGATCCTCGGAAGAAACTAGTTGACGGTTGACCGTTTTTCACGAACGTCTGTCGTTGCCTTTTACATGGTTTCAGGAACGTAAGCTAAACGTATCACATGGCATTCGACGCCCAGTTTGTGAGTATCCAATATATCATGATATTCTTTTACTTTTGCCTCCCTTTGCCCCAGTTGATTACCAACCGACACTTATTGATACCTGTAACCACCTTTTGGTTCACATTTGGTCTTGTAAAATAGATAATAAATGTATTTCTACGCTGGTACGTTTCAACACACACACACACACATTGACTGTATCGCGGTTATGGTAAATGCATGTGCCTCATGGTATTCAATGTGAATATGTTTCGGAGAAAACTTATGTGAATCGTCAGCTAAAGAAGTACGAATACTTTACCGCTTCGTGTTTCCGACAAACTGGAACTACCCGTTTTACACATCCGAGTACTGGCTTGCGCACTTTTTCTGCCCACTACTGTATTTTACGACTAAAAATTTGCAGCATCCTAAAACCGGTTTATAACCACGAGGCATTTGTTAATCAAAAATATGGGAAAGACATTCATCAACAAGATGGACTTGATTTTAACTATACATTAATAGTCTTTGCAAAAATAAAATGCAAATTATTTTAACTCAGCTGTATCTCTTCAACACGGACGTTACCAAGTTCGTGATAAAAGACCTCTGAGCTGGAACATATTTGCACCCTAAAAGATCTAAAATATAACCATGGAATCTTCTTAATTTCATCTGACAATAGGACTGGCATTATTGTTGTGTGCGGAGCTCGGTCAAGCTCGATTATTCTGATCTGGTAGAGACGAGACATTTGGTTGACATGCGCTCGGTAGTTCCAATCATTTGCCGAGTCTCCCCACTCCCCTGGAGAGCAGTACTGTTTTGGGCTTTTGTGACCGTAGAGTGATTATCATCGGACTCATAAGGTCTGAACTGAGTGAACAGCGAAAATTGATCCAAGCTCTCAAACTCTCGTGTTCATATGAACATAGCGTAGCATAACGAACTGTGGTAATGTAATC